TTCGTGTCTGGGCGAATATATTAATCTACACTTAACCCATATAAAAATAGCTCTAAAATTTTTATTAAAAGTCTAAAAATTCCCAACCGGCTTTGTCCTCCTTTCATATCACTCTCCTGTGAAAGTATTCCAAAACGAATTACAACATGTGGAACAAAAAACAATAAAAACCATATACAATACGGAGTATGTAAGTCGTAAACAACAATATACATACATGGAACAGTACACACGTGTCGGCCAGACGTTAGTTACAATACGAGCGGGCAATAGGGCGGGCTCACCACACAACACAAAACGACACAGAAATTAAAACACTCCATTCCATCATAACATAATATGAAAACGGTTCAAGTATACAGAACCGAATCCATTTATACATCTTTTTATGTTACAACTCTTTTATAATAGTCTAGATGTTTTCGAGCGACTTCCCCCGCGTGTACTTATAGTCTATGTCACCTTCGTATTATGTAGCTTCCCGTAGGTGAAATACTTTTTGTAGAAGTGTGTGTCTACTACCTCCCACACACCCAGCAACATATGTTCAAAACGTTTCGTTTACAAAAGTGGAAGAGTTCACACCATCACGATGATGTAGTGTACCAGAACTAAAATCTAAGTAAGAGTAGCGCACATCCAATAATGTATCTGATAAATCAATTCCCCATCGCGTGCGCTGTGCGAATCGAGCAGGTATTACCCAGATTGGGTGTACCGCAGGGACCAACCGAACACTGGAAATTCCTAGCTCGCTTCATAATTAGCTCATCCATTTTGGCACTTTTTCTTTCTGTAACTATTATTTAATGCGAATCAAAATATTTGGTAATCAAGCTTTGACTACACAGTATTTCAACTCTTTCAGTTAAGAATATCCTATTTTCTTGTTTCGTGAGTTTTCTGTATTGATCGAGCTATAGGTTGGGTGTTTAAATACTATTTTACACCATATTACGCCATCACAACTCTTAAAATAATTTCACATTTAAATTCGTACGTGAAAGTTCTACAAATCGAATAAATAACCGTATGTGCTCACAGCACGCCACCTCCGGCGGATCTCCTCTTGTCACGGCACTAATTTTATTATGAACGCAGTCGACATGAGAAATATTAATTAATATTTTTTGAATCATAGTATTTCACATTTTATAACTACTTAGATAAAGTGTCCAAAACGGGATTTCAACCCAACCTTTTCAGTAACTGGACGACTGCTCCTTTTTTTAACGAAGGGATACTTCGTTCGGCATATCGTGAGCGGTGAGATTAAGTAGACTAATCTCTGCAGACCTACCCGGTTTACTAGTCAAAAGGCGAAGGCACCCATGTTCAAGTTGGGGATGGGATACAAGATCCGGGTAAGAAGTCCCTTGAGTACCTAAACCTAGACAAGCAGGGACGTGAAATGCCCCATCGGCGCGCCAACCCTCCGTGCGTGTCCTCTACGTAGAATTCTATGTATACTACACAGGAAGCTGTTTAGAGTTTAAATTTGCAGCACACTCCTAGGGCGCGTGCTTTAGCGAAAAAGTGGGTGAGGAGAAACTCTAAAGTAATGAAGAAACTGGTTGACATTTACAAAATACATAGAAATCTTTGGCCCTGAAGGCAGCAGATGCGCTCAATGTCCAATCCCCAGTCTAGGCACCAGTCTAGAGAAAGACAAGTCTCCCTAAGAACTCTATTTTAGTGAGCGTGATCCGTCAATATTTAGGTAAAACATTGAGAGAAATATTATATAATATTTGTGACTTCAAAATGTAGGTAACCCGTACTTGTCGTTATCATTCTGAAAAAAGCGGATCACCAACGATAAGATTAACGTTCGGTGCGGTCGCATAATGTGCCCGATATAATACGATTTAATGATGAATGCTACTGACTAAAATCAAACGGTTGAAGCTTTCAGATCACATCAACTGATATGAAAGCTTCCGAACATCGATGACGTGCAATTTTTAAATTCTTTCTGTTTGTTTCAAAACGCTGTAATGGTAATTTTTAAGGACACAAGAGTTAAATCTTTGCGGAAGGACATTATGGGGTAACCTAGTAAGCTGATGTATGTACACGTGCATACCAGCGAGCGGATGATCGCTCGTCGTGCTCGCATATTCACTACAACACGATAACATTAGTATTCACTTTTCGTTTCACATTCTGGTAACTTCTCGTTCATGATCAGCGGTCGGACAACTGCCTAAATCAATTTTGGCAGAGGGAATTGCCACCTACCAATGTGTACCATGAGTCAACACAGTTAGACGTACATAATAGCGCTAATGATAATACGCATAGAGCACGTTAACACAACTAATCAGACCTCATAATTATGATGACTAAAATCAAAACATAGTACAGTTGACTGAGCCTCACGTGACTGCAAAAGGCTAAATTTATTTTTAAGTAACCTAATATGCTACTGTGTGTACAAGAAGAGGTTGGCTATAAAGACTTAAAAAGACAAGAACCAACTTTAATAACATGACAAATAATACTTATTTCAAAATCTACTTATTCAAGAAAATGCTTTTGAAGTTAGGCGCCTATTTATTTAATTTAAATAAAAATCCTTTTGGATTTTGAAGTCAGAAAACAAACAACTGTATCTTACAAAAAAAGGCAATAAACAAGAATGATTCACAAAACCAGTTTTTAATCTGTTTTCAATCATTTTTTAACGTGAAAATGCTCAGTACGGTGCATTAGTGGCAGGGTTTGTCATTATTTTTCCCTAACTAGAGCCAGCAGACTTAAATACATAGGATTTATTGAATCTGATGTAATGCAATTCAAAGCTCATAGTTAAAAGTTGACTTAAAAAAGCTATATTTGGCCCTGATTTTCAGACTACGAGCCTAATCCATGGTGACCTTCATGTCATAATAACTGCTTAAATGTTTAAAACAATGAGAGCCAAGGCCTCTGTTAGCACAGATGGAGCCAGTAGAGCGTGTTTGTGTAGTAACAATGCACAAATGTGTTCACATAATTCTTCATATTGTTCATTCTTCAATTGAACCTTTACAAATCTACATAATATAATAAAGGCAAGTAGTTTGCATGTTTATTAAAATGCAATAATATCTCAATATATGTAGATGGTTAATGAAAGTGAAAAATTTCAAGTTAATAACACATGATTCAAGTTGAGCTAATCATGAATTTAACATTTCCATTCATGCTTTCCTATTATCCCATCCAAAATCCCATTATTTAATTTTATATAAACACCAACAGTATAGCAGGTACAGGTACAGCCGCCAGTATGTCAGGTTCCTATAAATTGCCTTGCCTGTGGTCAATGAAGGCAAAAAATAATGAAGCTGCTTGGCTGCTCTGCAAGTGATTGAGTCACAATATAATTTCCTCTTCTAAATTTAACAAAAGATATTTAAATGCTTGGTAAAAATCTCATTATCATCATCAACAGGCATATAACGCCTATGACAGGCACTACTGACATCCTACAGCTTCCTGCAACCTTATTAAGTTCGTCGACCCACCTGGTGGGGGGCTTACCTACTGAGTGTCATTGGATTTGTGACCATTCCAGAAATTTATTACCGCTCCAACATCCTTCTGTTCTTTTAGCTATATGTCCTGCACACTACCACTTCAGCTGAGTAATTATTACAGAAATGTCAGTAAAATTGGTTGTCCTATGGATTTCTTTGTTCCTAGTACGATCATGCAGAGAAATACCAAGCATTTCCCTCTCCATCGCTGGAGGGGTAATTGTTGTATATATACATTGTTTTAATGTTATAATTTACAATAGCTGTAAATGAAAAATATGTTCATCCATGAATTATCAAAATATAATTAAATTTATAATACCAACATCCGATACTAATGGACTAATTAATATTTCATACTATTCAGATGACTTCAACAATTACTTATAATCACAGGTTTTTTTTTTAGTTATGACCTTCGTCCATTATACACAGAAATTCTACCAACATCCCATAGTGAGAGAGATAGGAAACACAAGACTTAATGGTAGTAATCACAGCTTTATAGTAAAATCTTTTAACTGTATGCAAATAAAATTTCTGTGTCTGTGTGTTCTTATAAAATGGGTGTTCTCCTTATGTCAAATAGAATGTGATCTGAAATATCAATGACCACTCAGTGACATCACACCTATAATGTCAACTTTAAGATTATTTGTTGTGGTAATAATACCTGAATATTAAACACATTTTATACATTATGAAAGCATACTTCATTTGTTTGGTTATAGTCATAGTATTTATTATTTCATAGTATACACTCATTATCAGCTTCTCTCTATTATGATGACATGTTGGCACAAAACATTAATCAACATGACTTTTTCTGAAGATGATAGTTTTTTTAAGATAAATCATAAATATAAATATGTGTCTAACTGACAACTTCATGTTGGTGTGCTTGGGAATACATAAGGCAAAATTTAAGTAAGTAATACATATTTTCTATAACCTGACTGTGGGTAATTTTACATTGTAAGTAAACCTATTTAAGTATGTTTGTTCTTTAAACAACAAATAGACAAAGAATCTAAAATAGACTTAAAACATAGTGTATGATAAGTTTATATTAAAAATACAAAGACTTTTTCAAAAATTTTATATCACTTAAGTAACAACTATGGTACCTAAAACAAAACATTTTGATATGTCACTTTTTACATAGTAGTTATAGCTAAGAAATAGCTAAACAAGTGAATTCAATCTATGGTGTAGCCTGATTCTTAGAGCTAAAAGTATGATCTTCAAACAAGTATATATTAGATAAAAATTATCATCTAGTTAATCAAAAGATAACTGTGAAAGAGATTTCAATCAAATGATTTTTAGTTCCAAAAGAAAAAAATGACATTGGAATTAATGAGTGCACTGGACCAAGAAAAGTTGTGTCACTTGTGCAGAGAGAGTGATTCACCGTCGCGCGGTTACATAGTCATTATTATGACAGAAAAAATAAACTTTAGAAAGGCCCCCTACCTTGTACACATCGCCATAGGTTCCTGATCCAATCCTCTGTATGAGCTCATATTCGTCTTGTGGGTTTCTTCGCGATATATCTGAACTCAAAACTCCACCACCACTATGCGCCATAATCACTAACGAACACTAATCTAAATTTTATTTACACTTTCATCTCATTATTCACATAATTATTGATACATATCGTCGACAAATTTAATTATTTTTTTAACACAAAACTCGACATTTCTCAAAATGACGTCTGCCACTGCCACAATACTAAAAATAATGTTGCCAACATATATACAGCTGTTCTACCGTATTCCGTATTTATTGAGATACAAGACTACAAACATAAAAGTTTTATTTAATCCGTAATAAAATTATATAAGCATGCGCAGGATAATAAGGAAAATCCTACTAATACTGCTTGTGTAAATGCGAAAGTTTTTGAGTATTTGTATATTTGTTACTCTTTCAATTAAAAACTAATAAACAGATTTTGATGAAACTTAGTGAATTAACATAAAGGATAAAGAGTATATCCTACTAAACGCTTCTCTAGCCCACTCGGGTGACGCTGCTGGTGGAAAGTTAGTAACAATATAGTTTGTTTTTAAAATACAGTGATGACGATCCCGTTTAATATAGATGAAATAAAAACCGACTGACTGTTTGCCAAGCAATTTACATATTTTTCTATCCATCTCATTCACAGAACACAGTTACTATATTATTATTGTAAGAAATAACAAAGACAGGGACAGTTTTTGGCTTTACGCCCCCTATTAAATGCATTACGCAACCAGTTATTTAATGTAATATATTTAATGAAAAATGCTTAAAAATCCATTTTGTCCCTGGCACTCTGAGATGGGACTCGAACCCATGACCTTTCGGAATCCGGACGACTGCTCTAACTACTGAGCTACCCAGCTACCAGCGCTAAGCGAGTGAGTAAATTGTGTTTAAAAAAATGTATAAAAACGCCATCTACATGGCTCAACTATAATTATAGACCACTTTTGTTTTTTCATTAAAGCCCACAGAGGCCACTCAAGTGTACCCAGACGTCAATGGTAATAATACTTGCGATACACTCAAGTATGTACAGAGCCTCATTGGTTATGAAAAATTCGATACTTAGTTCTCGTATTTCATCAAATAATTATATATGTACTTAAATATAATTAAGTAAATCATAGGTACCAAACGATCTTTAGGGAAATAGTGCTATTTATTGGAGTGTTTATAAATTTTCCAAGTCTTTTCCTTAGTACCATGTCAGTGCCTCGTTACAGTGCAACTGAAAAATAGGCAAATTCTTTAGCACATAATCTCATTCGAATAATTTGTTAATAAGAAACTACCGTGTTTATTTCTATTTCCAGTATGGCAATGATATTTTAAAAGATTGCAAGTAAAATAAATTGTCTATGGTTGCTTTTCATCCAGCAATGCTGCCAAAAATGAGAATGCTGCCGTGTATTACAATTGTTAGCTATCAACTGCTAGACGAGAACTAGCTAATTAAATGGCGCAATGAGAAAGAATTTAAAAATCTACATGGCAACACAAGTTGTAGGATCTAAATGTAAACGAGGAAGTATTTTAAAAGATCATTAGTTCCCGAAATCAAACTAGATGTCGCTACGGTACGTTCTTGATTTCTCCATAAGAATCCTTCCGGTTTTCTTACATGTTTAAAAGTAAACTAGTTTTCAAAACTCAATAAACAACTCATATTCCATTTGTACTTTTTCGCATTTGTTTTGATATCTAAGTTTCGAACTTTTAAAATTTCAGTTTTTTAATATGTTAATTAAAAGGAACGGAAATTACTGTCTTTCGTCCATTCGTTTCCTGCAAAACTCAACTTTTGCTAGAGTCGTCATCTAGTGGAAGTGCTTTTTTAGTGCTTTCGTTTTTTAAATACGTCCTCATTATTAAATATAATATTTAACAAAAGTTCTGAAAACAATAACAACTATAACTCCATTCATTATAGCATTAGACAGAAGTTAAATAAGGTTCTTTTTATGGTATACTTTGTGATAAAATATCAATAATCATGTTACTCTTAAGACTGACTGCTAATTTGCTACATCTCCACTTAAATACCAGCTGCTATACTTAACTGTTGTCATTTAAGCTATCTATTAAACAAATTTATGAGTATTTGACGAACTTGATTTAATAACTATTACAATAAAAAGTGTGCATCTTAAAGAACCTAAAGAAGCAGGGTTGGATAGTTTCGGCACGATTCTCATGTCACTATAACTCTACCAAATTTATAACGTTGCCTCATCCCTTCAAACGTTTCGGCAGTACAGTTTTTTTAATTTTGTCAGACTATGATATGAAAAGAGCTTTTCACCATGATTGACATTTAAACTAAATATGTGTACAAAGTTTCAACTGGAATGGAAAACGCTTGTGCACTACTGTGTCCGCGATCCGGAAAATTCATAAGGAATAGACTTGGGAAAAAATAATCGTTTTTTGCAAAATCGATATTTATTTCGTCGATATTATTAATTTCCAATAAACTTATAATCGATATTTATTGTAGATTATAAAATGCTATATTTTATATGATGATTTAATATAGTTGGTAAATATTACTGCATATGCTTTGGCAAACTCGGTATAGTTCTAATTTGACCAGCGTATGGTTCTAGTATCGATACTTAGCTAGATTTTAGAATCGTATTAAAAGTATCGATAACTTAAGGTAAGATAAATAAGTGTTGTTACGCTTAGACGCCTAAACAACTGAACCCATCTTAATGGAAATTAATATAGTAAACAGATTTAACTTTAAGAAAGGACATAGGCTACATTATATCGCGAAAAATAGGGGATAAAAGTGTGCCTGGAAATTTGTCATTATCAAATTTTTTTAGACAATTGAACAGTATAGATAGATATTTGATAACAGAAGTAATAATAAAGAAAAACAGAATTTGAACAGAAGTTATTAAGTGACACTCAATGTCTTTTTCGCATTTAAGTCTATATTGTAATAAAATAAATTTCGTGGGAGACCCACGCTTCGGCATGAATGGGCCGGCTCGACCGGAGTGATACCACGGCCTCACAGAAAACCGACGTGAAGCAACGCTTGCGTTGTGTTTCATGGTGTGAGTGAGGGTACCGGAGGCCCAACCCCTCCCTATTCCCTTCCCTCTACCCCTCAACCCTTCCCCCCAAAGCCGACAGCGCGCTTGTAGCCCCTCTGTTGTTGCAGATGTACATGGGCGACGGTAATCACTTACCATCAGGTGATCCGTATGCTCGTCTGCCCTCTATCCCATAAAAAAAAATGAAATTACTGTTTGTGTTATAAATAAATTTTTAAAAAATAAGTATTCTAAGGGAAAAATATTTCTGCTCAAAGAAACTATAGCATGCGTATCAAATTATGCCTATATATAATACAGTCCACTGATATCGTAAAGTTCATTTAGCATATTAATTCTCAGCTTACACGGCACTAATTTTGATTTGTTTACGAAATGGCGCCAACGATTGGTCTATCTCTGTAATCGCTTAAAATTGTTTTTACAAAACTTCGAAAAAAAATAGCACGTTTGTAAATTGAAACATCAAGTACTAGACCATTATCAGTAATTTATTCTAACTCACAGATATTTTTAGCTATTGTATGTGAACAATGCTGTTCCTAAATTACTAAGAGTATGGGCGCTTGTGCACTACACTGAATTTTCAGGTCCGGCGGTCCGATTTTTTCCGGTCCGGAATGACATGAAAAACCCGGATGAGTAGCTTGTGCACTTGTCCGTTTTTTTCCTGATCGGAGCGGCGCAGTGTAGGGCAGCTCTCTTTGAAGCTACAAGTCACTTACGCTAGATACGATGAGATTTTTGGAATGTCGGTAATTACGTTAGAAGACGTAGAAAGGTACCTAAATAATGACCTGATAATTTTACATAAACCATAATAAATTATGGCAAGACGAAAGCATTTTTTTTAATACTATTGGATGACCACTATCAGATGTAAAAACTTATACCTTTACTAATTTAGAAACAGCATTATTCACATACAATAGCTAAAAATATCTGTGACATAAGAATAAAATTACTGATAATGGGTTAGTACTGGATATTTAAATTTATAAACGTACTTTCTTTTTTCGAAGTTTTGTAAAAACAACTTTAAGCGATTACAGAGATAGACCAATCGGTGGCGTCATTTCATAAACAAATCGAAATTAGTGCCGTGTAAGCGAAGAATTAATATGCTAGATGGACTTTACGAGATCAATTGACTGTATTATATAGAGGGATAATTTTATACGCGTGGTGTAGTTTCTTTGAGCAGAAATATTTTTCCCTTAGAATACTTTTTTTTTAAATTTCTGTTTGTGTAACAAACAGTCATTTCAAATTTTATTACAATATAGACTTAAATGCGAAAAAGACATTGAGTGTCACTTAGTTAATTCTGTTAATCATCTGTTTATTCTTTATTATTACTTTTGTTATCAAATATTTATCTATACTTATCAATTGTCTAAAAAAATTTTGATAATGACAAATTTCCACTTTCATCCCCTATCTTTTGCGATAAAATGTAACCTATATCCTTTCTTAAAGTTCAGTTTATTTACTTTATTAATTTCCATTAAGATGGGTTCAGTTGTTTAGGCGTCTAAGCGTAACAACACTTATTTATCTTATCATAAGTTATCGACACTATTAATACGATTCTAAAATCTAGCTAAGTATCGATACTAGAACCATACGCTGATCAAATTAGAACTATACCGAGTTTGCCAAAGCATATGCAGTGATATTTACCAACTATATTAAATCATCATATAAAATATAGCATTTTATAATCTACAATAAATATCGATTATAAGTTTTATTGGAAATTAACAATATCGCCAAAATATGCTTGGGAAAAATATCGATTATACACAATTCGATTATTTTTCCCAAGCCTATTCCTTATGAATTTTCCGGATCGCGGACACAGCAGTGCACAAGCGTAAACACGTTATTCATTGCCGCCATCTCGGACCTGAAAAAACCGGTACGGAATAGTGAAAAGTAAAATCCCGGACGGTAAAATTCCTGACAGTGCACAAGCGCGCATTA